GGGGGGGGGGGGGTATGAACTTGTGCCCTGCTCTAATTTCTTTGGCCCCCTCCATCTGATTTTTTCTGGATCCGCCCCTGACGGTTTCCATGACCTCTCTTCTTCCTGCTTTATTGAGCGCGGGAGGGGCGGAACGAGAAGATCCTGGGAACGAACTCGATGTCCCATTGGATATAACTGAAATTACTAAAACCATAAAGATCAAAATCAACCATGACATGCTCTCTGTGTCTTTTAGATCTAAAAAATCAAGGAGACGTTGACGAAACGGGAAATCAGCTTTCCCTGACTATGGTGATAATCCTGTGCGTAGCGTCACTTGTGGCTGTTGCTATGATCTGCGGGACTATTGTAGTTGTGGTTATGTACAAGCGATGGTCAGCGAAACACGAGGCCCGGACCACAGAGAGCATAATACCACCGGCGACTAGAGCCAAGAAACCTAAGGTCCTTAAATTATAAGTACAAGCGAAAGCTGTCCCCGCTTAGTATACACCAAGCCATATTTTTGGGTCGGTTTGTGACGCGTGGCAAAACTGCTCACATATTTACTCGTGTTTATTAACCTGTATTTTAAACATTTTAGCTTGTTTACACAAGCCGCTGTTTTGGCTGACGCTACGAGCTTGATTAAGCTTGTGTAATTTAAGTTATTTTAGCTTGTATCTCAACTTTTTAATTTTGTTTTTAACTTGTTTTTATGCCTGTATTCGCAACTTTTTGGAGTTTGTTTTTTACTTCACTAATTTGGCCCGGGAGTATATCTGCTCTTGTTTTAGCCCGTTTTAACTTTTTGTAGGTTGCACGACCTTTTTTGATCAACTGATCACAGAGCAGAGTGAAGACAAGCTAAAGATTTACAGAAAGATTTTTCCCAACATACGATTTAAATTTTTCCACCAATGCAAGTTGCCTGTCAATGTCTTGCGACTCCGCAGGAACATCACTGGTATCTGCTTTTGCGTAACGGCTAAATATAGAAACAGCTTAGAAATTCAAGGCTAACTAAATCATAACTCATATAGAATTTCAGTAAAAGTGGCAGAAAACCACTAACATATAAGGCTAATAACTGCTTGAACAGTTTGTAGTCAGTTTGGTTCTGTGTTGGTTGTTCGAATTCACTTCCCCAGGCCAAATATCTTACCTCTACTCTCTGGACATACATGACAAAAATGAGTAGTGAAGGAGCAACAAAATCACTCTCGAACACCCAGTTTGGACTTTCATTGTGTCCTTGTATTGTAAGAATTGGTTTTTTTGTCTATACTTTAAGTAAAGCGGTTTTTAAAAATTAAACTGATTGCACAGTTTCGTAACCAAAGCTATATCCCGTTCAACACAAAGTTTTTTATTTGAAGGTTTGTCTTTTTGACCCACGGGTTGTTCCCTAAGTCAGGCCTCATTGTGAGTGTCGGGGAAACTTGTTCAAATATCCCCTTTAAATCCATTCCAAATAGTGGCAAATACCCTACCCCCAACCGAATGATGTCAAATTCCCGCTCCCCGGGCCACATCATCTAGTCCGTGGCCCGGGGTACGCCCGGTGAGGATGTTAATATCTGTGATAATAACGCATTAATCGACACGTAACGAAAGACGTTTGTACTTAAAATCAAAAGGCGAAACCATGTTAAGCACCACCTCGTTATGCATTCGGATCACTTTTTTTAGAGAATCAGTGAAGCACTGAACCAGAACTTGTAGAGAGGCAGGGACAACACTCGGACCGGGTCAACTCGGCTTGCTGATTTAAATGAAATTGAGCCCAGGCAGTGCGCGACGGAAACAGTATTTTTCGTGGGAAATGCTGTTTTTAATATTATAAGGGAAAGGGTTGACTCACTTAAGGGTATAATACATATGGAGGCTCCTGTTTGTACCTTGTAGTGTTCATTAATTTCTTTTCGCGTCACTGTCGTGGAGGGAAGTAGAGACTGCATGTAACATTCAAAATTTGACTGTCATTTGACAAAGTTAAAGGGACTTCCAGTTGGGAAACATTGCAAAACAGCTGAAGTTTGGGATATTGGGATGTTTGGCCAAGCTAAAACCATTTCCAATATTTTTTTCAGTGTTTGTGCGTTGAGGGAAAGGGCAATCAACTAATATATTATATTCAGTGAATTTCTGGAATCTAAAATACTGGTTGAAAAACAGAAAAGTTCTAATATTTTTCAACCTAGCATATACACTATCGTTCACACAGGGACAAATATGGCTTTCCTTATACTTTGTGGGCTGTTTAAGGCCTGCATGGTATTGGGGTATGGCCTTCGCAGCTAATACTTGGTTCATCAAACAAGCCTTCTCTCATAACGCGATGACCTAACGACCTTGTAACGCCTGCACAGGGAGACTACCTGAGGTACAAATGGATATAACCAGCAAGTCTTGCAGGACATTAAAATTAATTCAAGTTTAATGAATTGACTGATTTCCTTACTGACACATGTCTTATGTCTTCCCATGCAGTAATGAGGGTTAAAAGGAAAGCCTATCACCCAGAAATTATGATACAAGACAGAAAAATATCAGAAAAAGAACGGGGGACATCACTCCAGTTTTGCTGGTTTGATATCTTCCATAGATAGATAACAAGAACAATTAGACAGATACAAGACACCATTGCTAAAACCTTATTTATCTCAAATTACAATACTGATTTGATGGGTGTAGTCCACGTACACAATATTGACCAGTAACATAGCAAGGTTGACAAAATATTTTACAAAGAAACAGGCAATCTATTGTCCATAGCAGATGTTCTGGAGGCACCAGCCATACTCCATCGCACAAATTGTCTGTGTCTTACAGTAGAAGTAAACCTGAAAATAAAATGACGTTTAAAAAAGTCTAGTCAGTGTTCGCTACTCTTTGATGCATATAAATATTACTGATCACTCCATGTGTTGTATTTAAGGAGAGGGATTCGGAAAGGGGAGGCGGGGGAGAGGGGAGGGGAAAGGGTGAAGGACAGGTTGACCAGGAGCTCATCTAAAAATATGAAGATGAATACTGATTTGGTGTAAAAATCCACAAGCATTTTTCCATGAGCTTTAATCTACTAGTACATTAGCTTAAAATTAACTTTTAAAACAACTTTTGTAGCAAGAGGAGGTTTAAATTAGGTGCCCAGGGAAGACAAACCCAATACTCGCCCTGTAACCCCTGTAACTGGCTCTGGCACCTGAGGGTGCTACATGATTTGAATTCTAACAAGATGATTAACTTACCAGAGACTCTATGGAGCTGGAGGAGGAGCCATGAGGTCAATATCTGAAAATTCCCTAGCTGCGGCAACAGCAAGAATAAATATTGCAGTGTGTTTGATTAGTTGCCTGGGAAACAAAGATATCAGCATTTATCAGAAAATACAAACTTGTAGCTACATTACTTTTTGCATGCTTTTTCTGGAGACTAGATTATTGAATTCTTGAAGTGAACAGATGGACATAAATGGTCACATGCATGAACAACTGCAAAGAAAGAAGAGCCAATTAATGGGTACTCAGCATCATATCAGAATAAATGCTAATGATGCAATAATGTTCAGTTCCATAATGACATTGGTGTAATCCATACAGTGGGCTACAGTAAACCAGACGCGATACGTTGCTTGGACATGAGACACCTCTGAAGGTGCTCTACAGGTATTCAGTAACCTTAACTTCTAGATATTGCGCTCAGCTAAGTGCATTTATAAAGATGCAATGATTTTGGAATTTAAAAATGTTTCATATACATCTGACAAAATCCAAATAATAGTTAGGTTTTTTTTTGTTTGGTGCTGGAGGCACTGAAAATGCTTAGTGGCACTTACTACAAAACAATTTCAGCCTACAGCTGTACATGTACTTCAGATTTTCGGGAGAACCCTGGAGATGGTGTGTTCATTTTAATATATGAACATAGCAAACAGGGTTTTCAATAGCCTGCGAGCAGGTCCATGTTGTAGCACAAGTGCGTGTGGCATAGTTGTGTGCGTGAAATTGAGCAGTGAAGCCACGAGACGAGAAAGTGAGCCTGCTCTGATCTCTGCAAATTTTTTATTTCCACCCCGGAAACTGCAGAAAAGAATAAGTCAGTTAATTTTCACCGGAAGTATGAGCTTTGGCAGCTCAGATTTCTTGGGAAAATTGTAAATCTTTTTCATAACAACATGCACACGCGATATCCGTTGTTGATAAAGTTTTGCCGAAGAAAAACTGTTTAAGTTACTGTCTACTAAGGACGCACACTTGATTCCCAGTCATCTTGCTTTGGCAGTCTGGTCTTTTATGATGCTGGTAAATGGGCAAACACCTTCCTGTTGTTTCGTTGCCTGCTTGCAATCACATACGTTTGTAACTGAATTAACTCTTCCCATATGCAGTCGGCAACACGACAAGTACGTCTTGATTCATTAACATACTTTCAACTGCTATTTCCTGCTCCCTCTTTAGTTTGAAATTTAACCAGAAATAGACTGAAATTTTGTTAAAACATCAATAATAAGAGCACTCAACTCTTCCTCTGACTCCAAATGTGGGTGACTTGTTCTTTTATTATGAGGTAAATTACTGACTCTACGGGGATTTAATCGCTCGTCATCAAACATAATTGCTTGGCAGTTTCCTTGCCTTTCCCACTTTTCGACCAATGGTATTTTACTTTGCTCAGACGAAGCAGAAATGAAAAAATTAAAGAGATCAAGGCAGGCTCACTTTCCGGGTGCCTCTTCACCAGACTCCTTCCTGCCGGATCACTTTGCTCTTTTCCGCTAGCGCGTGTGACTCAAAGGTGAGCCTGCTTGCAGGCTAGCTTTTCAATAAGTTTTGAGATAGCCGTCTGAGTTAACTAAAGTGGACAGCAAACTGATGAATTTTTTAAATAATTTGAGTGAAAATACAGACAAAGTAGGCGGTGGTAAGGGGTTAATTCTGACAAAGTAGGCGGTGATTTTCGCTGGTTGTCGGCTTCTAATGAAACCCCTGAGCAAAGGTCAGTGATGGTTCTATTAAATTAATGCAAAGATCATGTGTCGTATCAAATGCTGTGACACTCAAATGTTTTTCTTTTAATGGACTCATAATTTATGCACGAAACACACTAATACCATCAATAATAATTGATAATAATTATTGATGGTAACACAGAGATACTCCATCAGATTTCCCTTGTTAGTGGTCAGCTGTACCACTTTCATAGAAATGATTTCATCAGACCAAAACTTGCTTAGGATTCTTATGACAGTGGTGTGCATGTAAGTCATACAGCAAACACGGTGTGTCTCATGAGACAGTCACAAGAAAAAAGAACTCAACCATCTGTAGCCCAAGCAAAGCATCCGATCTCACTAAGATGATACAAATTGGCACCTTAAACAGTTTCCTCCAGTGATGTCTTAAAACCTATGAAGCAAACTTGGGGTTTTGAACAGTAACTGAAACATGCCCTTTCTAAATTTCTTGAGGAGAATGAAGAGCTCGACAGTGGCTTTCTACTCGGACATAAATGTTTTCACCAAACTAAAATTTTCTTAGGATTATTGTGCCAATGGTGGGCACGTAGATGGGATCCAAGTCATGTAGCAAGCATGTTACTTGTCACATGAAACAGACAGAGCTGAACTGACATATAAAATGGCACATAGTATAAAGTTTCAGCTTTCTTTTGTAGGAAACCAGAGCTTAAATTATATACTATTCTTTTTCGATCCAGGAGTTAATCTATATGTAAGCTTACTGATGCAGATATATATAAAAATTGAATACGGCTGATTCTATTGATTCGTCTTAGTGTGCACATATTTTGGATACGAGCTCCGTGTGGCAGCGTGTGGCCATCGTACCACGTGCGTATGTAACTTGACATACGAATCATCACGGACATATAATCCTCTGAAGGAGAATATAAAATAATAGACGCTCAGGTTTGCTTACCATTTTGTAGGATTTCTGTAGAAGTCCATTACAAACGCCCCTGCCGCACCTAAACGGCTTCTTGTTGGACTTGATTTTCGGATAGCCTTGGGCGCCATGTTGGATTTGAGTGTCATGAAAACGAGGTGCTGATGACGTAAGAAGAAGTATCGGTAAGTCACGAGACCCAGGTTTCAGGGCTCCGCCATATTCTTACGTTAGATTGTGTCGCAACGAACTTTCGGCGAGTTTGCTCTTCAGAAGACGGTAAGTACAGAGGCTGTTGTGGCGACGTTAGGTTGTACACCTTTCTTTTCAGGTATTTACGTCTTAACGTGGCTTAATGTTTCTCATTTGTACCAAAGATCTGTGGTGCACAGTGTCAGTTCACGTCTCGAGGTCGAACGAGGGGAAGATGGCGTTTGCCGGGGTAGTCACACTTCGGCCAAATCTCAACGCAAAATGCACGCACAGTTGTCTTTGGGTGCGATATTTGTGATCATGTTTATTTTTTGGTATTCCTTCTTCCTGTTACTGTCCATGTAAGGCGTTGAACTCAATTGAGGATCTGTGAACGTCGCAATTTACATATTCGTGCAGGTTTGAAGTTACGATCCTTCGATTTCGTAATTTGATCGAATTGAACACAGATTGCTACATCAGTGGGTTTTCATCGGCCTCAGGTTATGGTCTTAACTATTTTAGATTCTTCCCAGTTAACTTGCTGTTACGGAACATTATGGAAGAATGCCAGAATGTGGGACCATACCGATATTTTGCTGTTGTCGGACAACGCGCTAGTTCAGGAAATTATGTGGGGCATAGTCTAGCAAACCACAACATGTTTCACTTCGCAAAACTAGCATTAGACAGTGACCAGTGCTTCTTCTTTGCTAGTTTTCTTGACAGAAATCAAAGGCAGTTAAAAACCAGGTCTAATTAACCAAATAATTACGTGTTGATCTTATCGGACCTCTCAGCTCAGCTGTGAATATGTGGTAAATTTGGTTATGGATTTTTATTTAGAACGTACAGATTATGTTCAACATAGCAATAACGAAGCTTATCATTTAAACAGAACTTAGAATTAAACTCTTTCTTAATTCTGTCTGTTTGCTTGCAGCTAGTGGCAAATGAAATGAGGAAAAGTTTTTTGTTCCTCAGTTGAAAGATTTGTCAGCAAGTGTTTTAGAGGGTGCTTTTTACTTTCTTTCTGTATATGTACTTTTGAAGTTACTTTGTACAGTGGATAAAGTTAGTGTTTGGAACAAACAAATCCAGGACATCAAAAGAAACTCCAAAATTGTAGAGGAAACTGTAAGGTTGATAAACCTAAAGGAGATATTAATGAACCAAATAGGACATGGATGGTAATGAAGACTGGGAAAGAATGAGATAGATTGTAAGCAAAGCTCCTAACAAGCTTCTTAAACTAAAGTTAATCTTGAAAAATGTGCTAAATCAGAGTGTGTACTTTGGCTTCCATGGCCAAATGTTGAAGTTCTACAAGTAGTGCTAATTTCGCGTTGAAGTGCATGTAGATTTTTGATGTTTGTTTCAGTGAAGTTCACCTAATTTTATTGGGGTTGCCTAAAATTTTTTCTATGTGAAGTAGATGCAAAAAATAACCTGAAGATCACGTTCAACAAAGACTACAAAGCACATGCTAAGAAAATGTAAATTAGGGGTAGTTTGTTTCAGAAACAAAGCATGGCCATAAATTGGGGATGTATTAACTCACACCTGTCATATGATGACTACCTGCAGAAACTTGCTATGCATGTTTACATGTAGTTGCAAGGCAAAGACAAAACAAGAATATTATAACAGCAGCTTCATCACCAATACTTGCTGTGTCCTTTGAAGAAGTCTCATTGTTAAGTTCATTTGAGTGCTAAATGAACATAACTGCTCGTTCACTTTTGCTTGTGTGAGAGATATCTTATTGTTGGATTCACATTCTGTACGTACTTGGTTAACTAGAGTCTGGTTTGACTGAATTTAATTTAACATTTGAAGTTGCTGACAAAATTGAATAACTAAGATCAAGTTAAACTTTAAGTTATTTGGACTCATAATCTTGAAGTTGGTTGTTTGCCCTGAGCATAAAAAACTCCAGCAAATATCACTGACACGATAATTATTTAATGTCATTTAATTAAGACTTCCTGTTGCTTTTTGAAAGGTTTTGCAGGTAAACAACTATGGCATCAAGAAAGAAGGTTCTTCTTAAAGTCATAATCCTTGGAGACAGTGGGTGAGTTAAAACAGATGTGCCATGTGTGGTATTTGATAGTGTTTATGCTGTGTGTTCTAGGGTTCTCATTAAGTGCCCGCTGCCAGCTTAAATACAGCTACTTTGATTTCTTAGCGGCATACTTAGTGTAAGTTGTAAAGAGTAATGTGACTGTCCTTTTCTCGGGATAGTCAAGGCTGTAACTAGAGAGGGGGCATTCGGTGAGGCTGTGGTACATGTACATTTTACGTTACATGTACATTACGCAGGTGATGTATTTTGTAGGATAAAAATTGAAGAAAAAGTCTTTGTAATCCCTTAATATTCTTGGCGGTTTGACCTTTTCCAAAAATGACTTATTTTAGGAAATATCTCCAAGAGAATGTTTAAAATAGCATTTCAGCGCCAGTCAGTGTCGAAAATTTCTGGGGCAACATGCTCCCAGACCTCCCTAGATGCTTGTCTCTTTAGCACTCAAATTGGTGTCAGTCATCTACTGCAAGAAACTAGCCCTCTACTTCCAAAATATTATTAATGAGAACCCTGGTGTTAGGACAAACTTCTGTACATGTCCATACAGTGCATTTTGTCAGGCAGATGAAAATTTGATCAAATCCGGAAAAGAGGCAGCTACAGAGTAAATGATTACACTAAGTCTTAGATTCTGATTTTAATAAATTATTTGTTAGATTTAGACTGAAATCCAAGAGCTGCTTCTTTCAAATTCTTGTCGAATTTGCATTTGTATGCTGCAAATGTCTGATCAAATTTCTGATCAAACTGTCCAAAAGGTGACAGGCAATCCAGAGTCACGGTGTTGGTTAACGTTGCACCTGTAGATTGTGAAGCAGTCTCATTTAAACAGGATCACCCACTTGCTCAGTATCCAACAGAGCAAATGCAAGTTTGACACAGATACCTTTCAGTGGCTCTTGCATAACTTACAAAACCCTATTTTATAAAATAGCCTGTTAGCCCCTAGGGATTCATCACACCTACTTAAAAAAAGGTAAATTTTCTCTACAGTTAACATGAAACATTGACCAGTGTACATAATTATCCTTGTGTAATTAGCAGAATGTTAATATATACTGTATGCATGTATCTAATGGCTGTTTTTCTTGTTGTATTTAAGGGTTGGTAAAACATCTCTCATGAACCAGTATGTCAACAAAAAATTTAGTAATCAATACAAGGCTACAATCGGAGCAGACTTTCTCACAAAAGAGGTGATGGTTGACGATAGGCTAGTTACGATGCAGGTAAGAGGAGCTGCCGAGTGATTTGATGCTTGTTTGCTATGCACAAGTTAATTCTTCAGTGACAAGTTATCAGATCTAATGAAACTTGTTACACAAGACAGTGATAATTTTCCAAGAAGCCACTTTGTATAGATTGAAGTGTTGTCTCACAGGAGTGTCACAAATATGATGGTACTTGTGGATTCTGCTAGCCTTGTAAAGCTATCAGGAACTTTTAACATGAGGATAAAATATAGTTAAACGATAAGGAAACTTAAGGTCAGGGATGCTGCTAAAGGGGTAACCGGTTGTTTCGCCTGATAGCCAGTTCAACCACTGTCAGTTTGTTTGGACTATAAGTCTGTTCGCCCAGGCTGAAAGTTCAAAGGATGTGTTTTTGTTGGCATTTTGAAACAAAATTACACAAAACATATTTTCTGTTCTTTAATCCGTTGACCATTGAACAAAAATTTAGTTGCCTGCACTCATAACTTAGGCCCCTCAGGTGACCGGGCATCCTTTTGGCAGCAGCCTTGATGGAGCTAACAGTCCTGGTGAACAAACTTGCATGTACAGTCCGGGCCAACTGGCTTTTGGGAGAGATAACTGCAATTCACTAAGGGCCGGCTGCTGGCTAATTTTTCTGCCTTAAATTTCATGTGAAAACAAAGACTTGGATAGACTTTGGAGCTGTCAAGGCCAGAAAAACAGCTGGGCTTGTTAATGAGCTGGCTTAGTGTCTTCTTTGTTACATCCTTGAGAAGTACAAATAGTTTATTTCAACTACAGTACCTCAAACAGTTTTACCGATTAGTATGAAATACATTTTATTATTACCAGATATGGGACACAGCAGGACAAGAAAGATTTCAAAGCTTGGGTGTGGCATTTTATCGTGGTGCTGACTGTTGTGTACTGGTCTTCGATGTGACGCAACCCAGTACCTTCAAGACATTAGATAGCTGGAGAGATGAATTCCTCATTCAGGCAAGCCCAAGAGATCCAGAGAACTTTCCTTTTGTTGTCTTAGGAAACAAAATTGACTTGGAAAACAGAGCGGTAAGATTTGCAGATTCTTTTTTAAATAACTTGTGGTCATTGTCAACATTATTTAAAGTTCTCTAATGACCCTGGCCAGGGCTCAGACCCAGAATAAAAGTCTACATACAAGCCAAGTGGCCCATCAGACTGGAGCTTATCTCTGTTTCCATAGCATGAAGCGACTAGGAGTATTTCTACTCCCCCCTGGATGGGATGCCAGTTCATTGCAGGGTTGCCCTCAGCGTTAAATTTGCCAGTACCCATTTGGAGAGACACTGTCAGAGTAAGTTGTCTTGCCCAAAAAACAACACAATGTTCCCAACCAGGGCTTGAAGATGGGAAGCTAGATCCAGAGTTGCGCACTCTAACCATGTGGCCACTGTGCCTCCAAACCCAGAGTGCTTAATGCTAATTATTGGGCTATCACATTTCCTGCGTAACACACATGAACTGGACTATACTAAACTCTACCAAAACTTCCTCAGGTCAATGCCAAACGCGCACAGTCATGGTGTCACTCAAAGAATGACATTCCATACTTCGAGACCAGTGCAAAGGAGGCCATCAATGTTGAACAAGCATTCCAGACCATTGCCAAAAATGCCCTCGCCCAGGAAACAGAGGTGGAGTTATACAACGATTTCCCTGACCAAATAAAGCTCTCTGGGGACAGCAAACCAAAATCGAATGACTGTGCTTGTTGAACAGAATTCAATAGTAACTGTAGTTCTTTGAGGTCTTGTATTGAGATGATGTATCGTATGAAAGAGGTGCAACTCCTTGCTGTAATGATTGATATACTCACTGGCCAATGAAGTAAATTGCTCAGGACATTGGCGAACTAAGACAAAAAAAATAAAGCCTGCCTTGTTCAAGTCAGTGCGCGAGGTCTAGTTACTGTCAAGGATGTGCACATTTTTACCCAAGTTTGTGGCATGGAAAAATGTCCTTAGTCTGATATTTTGTAGCATTTCATTCACCTATCTATCTGGGCTGGGAACTCAATATGTTTTTGTCAGACATTTTTCCACACAAATAGATTTATTTGCCGTTCTTGATTAAAATATTAAGCTATCACTGCATGATTCAGAATTGTGAAAATTACAGTGCACTGTATTACCTGTAGAGCATAGATTGAAATGAATGTACAATGTAAGTAATTGAAATAAAATGTAAAACTTTGGTACCAAGTTGATTTTAGTGTGTGAAGAAAATGTGAATCTGTTTTCCTCTGGAGATCTGGGTTTGATATTAGTAGCAGGTTTGCATGCAGCAAAATTAAGGAGGCTTGAACAAATTGGGAGGGGATAAGTATTGTTCCTCCATTGCACAATCTGTTTGATTTTCCCACTCCAAGGCCCTCTGTACTAGAAGTCCAGCATGTGGTAATTCATTTTATTGTCTCCTGACGTTTTATGCCGTCCCATGCAGGCACCCTGCCTTCTCAAGCATCTGTCGAGTCCGWGCCCTTAGAGTCTGGAAACTAAGGCTTTGATTCATCCCCAGGCTTCACACGGGTTGCTCGGACGTCAAACGGATGAGATACCTTCCTCCCCTCGGTTATTTGATTCTTCCTTGTTCGGCTGCGACTACGAATTAAACCGTGTTAGGAGAAAAACACCCGAGAGCCTATTTCGTGCTGCCAGGCAGAGTTAGGACGAGAGAGGCTTTTTTCTTCCTCAGTATTTTCAACGTCCTCACGGCTGCAGTCTAATGTTGTCTCGCAGACACCTCAAAATTGTCCTACTCGGCTCGTAAGTGGACTCAGTAGAGCCCTCGGCCCGAGGAATAGATGGGAGATGGGGAAATCCCTGCGGTTCCTATCGGATCCCCGAGGGGAAAGTGCTACAAGGAACATTGGTTTTCCCATGGTAGCATAGTCGTTCATAATTATACAACTTGTTCTTTCAAAGATTTGCTACTCACCAGTTGAAACGACTGCAGTTCTTCAATTACTTGATGTTCTTTTAAACAGTACCCTGTATCAGGAAATCATAAAACTTTGTTTCTTTCGGGGAGTCTGTTTTCTAGGGAAAGAAATAATCCCTGGATAATCATATTTTCTTTCAGTATTATTTTCCAAAATAACTATACAAAAGTCCAAATTGAGCCCTGAAACTACTGTTACAATTGAGGGTTAAAATCCGAGGTTTCGCCGATCCAACAGATCCGAGACATCATTTGGAATCGGTGAAACCTTGGATTAAGCCTCAGTTTTAAAAATAGTTTCAGATTTGAACTTTTGTATTGTTACTAAGTTGTTACTATGGCGAGAAAGTTTAAGACCTAATTTTTTTTCTGTAATCGAAATGTGAGGAGGTAAGTATCTTTTACATGTTGTCCAACGCGCTGTAGCGTGAACTGACGATAGCACCTCCAAATTTACACAAACAAGAGTAGCAGAACTATCTTTATTCCATTGGTCTCTGTCTACTTCTTATTTTCAACTATAGATTGTTGATAGTGAAACGTTCTGCCTTTGATCAGAATTAGTCCGCTATAAAAATGAAGACGATAGTTGAGTGAGTTTTACATCTTAGTTCATTCATCTCTTCATTGCAGCATCGAACCTTAGTCGAGAGAACAGTTGTTTTCAATTGGACAAATCGCATTGAAGCATTCTAAGGGCTTCCAATCTTTATTAACCAATCAAAAACAAGTACACCCACTCGCGAGTACTCCCGGAAAATTGTCACTTGCCAGCCTGCCGCAATGAGGACAGGTCGTGTTGCTTAGCAACTCCGGTGTCATAAAATGCCGGCTCAGTAAATTCTCCGAGATGGGATGTCGTCCAGGTACTCATTTCCTCGACTGAACACGTGACAAACACACAAACGTTCCTTATAAGAATGAGGTTCTTTGTGGATCAAAGATCAGCCATGAGGTCGAGTCTTCTGAACTTGTCCAGGTTGAAGAAGGCGCCTCTAACAGTACGTCCACCAAAGAATCGTCCATTGAGGTCCACAAGAGCTGAAAGTAAAACGAGATAACGGAGAGAAAAGGAGAGTGAGAGAACACGAACACTTCAATAGTTGAATATCAAAGTGTTTTATACACATTTACAGTAGAGGGAAACCTGTGTGAGTTAACCAAAACAAATTTTGAACTCTAACCGAATCGCACCACGATTTTTGACATTGAATTCAATCAAAATGTCAAAGGGATCTCAGCCAAACAAAGAAACAGAACCCTACGTTTGTCTACAGGGCCAACCTCAGTTTCTTGCTTTACAAGATTTACTTCAAAATTCCTGCAAATTAATTCCAAATGGAACTCGAATCCGTATGATTACCTATACAAACATGAAAAACTTCGAGTAATTTTTTCCTGTATATTATTAGGCTATTTAATACAATTTTCATTCTTTTTAGCTCTCCTCGCCGACCTAATTAACTCATCCCGTTTGTTGAGAACATTCAGCGGCGGATCCTGAAGTCCTTCCCCCCCCTCCCCCACCCCCCCGGGTAACCGTCCTACATCGGGTGAAGAGCTTAAGTCAGCTGGAAACTGTTGATATGGTGCAATCCGAGTCTTTAATTCCGCTAGCGACTGCTGCTCCATAAAATACAACTATTATTGTCGTTTTTCTATCACGATTGTATGCTTAAAAATAACACGCAATATCGCGTTCTCTACTCTCTGTTCAATAGCACAGGCTACGAAAGCTAGCTAAGCACTCCCTCCTTAGGTTCTCCAATCTTCATTGTCCAATAAACCAGATTTTCTCTCCCCAGTTTTGGCGAAAAGATTTCTGGCACTTTTATTTACCTTTTATAGCAGACTCCACCCGCTGGAATTCCACAAAAATTCGCACAGATTCCTCTTCGACCTGCGCTCCTTGGGGAAACTGAAAACCAAATTTTTAAAAACATATAACATACGTAAAAAATTAATTTGAAAAAAAAAGTTTCTTGTCTTTCCACGCGACGTTATTTGGGAACACCTTATTTCGCTTAGTAACCTATCCCACGGAAACTGTTGGCTCAGCTAGTTCGAAAAATTAACTCTCCCTAGAGGTTACAAACACTTAATGTCAGCTCTGAGAATTTAGTTGATGATTTTCGTAATTCTCATTACCTGTCTGCTTGATAATGCATCGATACTGCAAGGAGAAATTACATGTTGATCCTGACTAAAATAACACTTACCTCGTAAATAATGACTTTGACAACCTCGCCGTATTTGGCGCATTCTTCGACAACTTCAGGTTGCAACTCTTCGTCTACTTCACCAGGGCCTACCATGTTCTAAAACACGAACAAAAGATGATGAGCACTGTCACGCTACGCTTCCGTGGAGAGAGCATGGCCTGACAGAAAAGCTGCAGGACAGAAAAGTTGCGTGACGGCCATGGACATCATGATTTAATAGGGACGGAACATTATTTTTTCAGTGGGGCTTGGGCAGTTTTCTTAAAAATATTCCTGCACCGCAAAAATTGCTGGAAAAAAAATCGTGCAAGGAGAGCCCTGGGGAAAAAAAATCGATCAGGTCCTGTTTACCTACCAGGTCCTGTGTTTGACTAAAAAGAAATTCTTGCTCAAGCTATTGCCCACCAAAAAATGTCACGCACAACCTAAAGGTGAGAAAAAATTCCTGTCCCAGAAAATTGCCCAACCCAACCTCAAAAAAATAATGGTGCGTCCCTTAATGTTTACCTTGTAAAGAGGAAAAAAACGTTATAACTATTTCATAAAATGCCATGCAATGATGCAAAGACTGGAGAGCACTCTAAAAAACACTCAAAAGAAGAAAAACGTTACTCACTCTAAGAACAACGACTTTACTTGGATTCTTCATGACATTTGTTACCGGCTCTGTGTCCTGAAGAGCAGCAGCTTTTGATTCTGTTGATCAGAAAAATATACAGTCCCAAGATCAAGTCTTCTTACTAATTGCTATAGAATTCTTTTGTGTCAGTTCTGAAAATTTCGTGGTACACAAAGGTATAGTAGGACGTAAATCTATACAACCACGATCCAATGGGCAAGCCCAAAAATACGCTAGAATCGAGGGTGCCGTACATATACATGTAGTTCGTGATTTTCTTTTTTCTCTTCACCTAATTACGTGAAAATGTGTTGATAACGTATGGAGAAATTAAATATTCATCAGTGTTTAGTTTACCTTGCTTGTGTGAATCGCGCGTGCGCAAAGACGTTCACAAACAGGTCACGCAAAACGAAATATCACGAAAAACGAAATATCACGCAAAATGAAATATCACGCTATAAGATATAACACGCAAACGCTTTTAACTGATAATATTGCACTACATTTTGACTTCTACGTTCTCGTTACCCAGATTGAAATCCAACCTCATTCTACTAAGTGCCCTCGAAACTTAAATCTACCTTGCCTGCCCACGACCATTTTCCTTTAGAAATAATCGAGCGGGCGTGAAAACGCGGAGCGGGTTAAAGGAGCTCAGTCACGATATTTTGAGTTATTTTGGCCACATACAAAATTACCTTTAAATGGTAGGAAACCTGAAAATAACAGTTTAATAAGATAGAAAAACACCACAGAGATAATGATAAACCATAAAGGAACAAGGATGGCTGGCTAAGGATGGAGAAGATTAACACGGATTACAAACGACGAATTTGAAAAATTGAGGCTAAACTTTTCAATATGCGCAAACCGTGACTGCGCTCCTTTAAAGAGATCTATTTTCTTTTAACCTATCCCAGCCTTTTGCATTCGCGCTGATTCAATCCCTCGCGAGTTTACACTTGCTCTTGACGATCTTAACAGAGACTAGAAGATATGTGTGTGACGGAAGCGGGTGCATTACGGCGGAAAAAGAACTTTAAGCTATGACGGTCGGTGAGGACTACACAGAACTTAAACTGGTCTCCAAAAGTACCGATATATTTGTACTTATTTCTCGCGTTACTTGTACTATTATGACCGATTAACGAAAGGAAAACTGAGTTCAAAATTTAAATAATACCTTTGTCTTTGTCGATTATCTTGCCGCCTCGTTTACTAGTTTTCTCCACTTGTAAACAAGTGTTGATTCCTTGTTCCTGTTTTCCCAAACCTACACAAATACAGAAAAATAAAGCTCTTTGTCTAACTCATGTAGTCCCAAGCTTAAAGTATCAACTCTCCTAACTTGTTGGCATACATTTCCTTCCATTTTAGTTTCGAGAATCTAAAGGAACATCAAGAAAACCTGCCATGAAATGCCAGCGATCTACCACCCTCAGGGCTGAGGGTGGGAGACCTGGAGCAAGCTCATTCCCAGGGTCCTCTCCAAATCTGTTCCCTGGGAACGAGGTTGGTCAAGGAGCTGACAACGAAAGACAGTTCAGGTTAGCGAGTTGGTAGCTAATAAATATAAGTGCATTTAAGTGTTATTCATTGTGGTAAAAGAATAATGTGTTACCTTGTCCATCTTTCCATCCGTATTTAGCCATGATTTGAGATGCAACAGGACTGTAAAGTAGATTAAACAATGTTACAATAAATGTATGGTTAAACCATCACTTTCAGTAAAACTCTCGCAGGTCTCTTCAATAAAGCATCTTTCTACTTCAGCCCAATTCTAAACAAACGTTCCAAAATCAAAATTTAGCCAATTTGCTGGGTTTCCTTTACGCCATGGATGCTGAAATGTTTTAAATTTATTGCTAATCTGCCCCAGTCTTATCCAATTTTAAAGGTCGGCACACACGAGGAGGGGACTCGTCCCTGCCACAAGTCGCAGGGACGAGTCCCATCGTGTGAACTAGCCGTTTTCACCACAAAATCTAGTCGCAGGGACTAAAATTTGGTCCCTGTGACTAGTCCCACAAATTCAAACTACTTTGAACTTTTGGGACAAGTCCCTTCAACTTGTTCCTCAAAACACTTCGTGTGAACTGCTGGTGGGACAAGTACTTGCGACCAGTCTCTTCGTGTAAACTCTTCAGGGGACTAGTTGCAGGGAGTAGTCCCCTTGTGTGCGCCGACCTTAAAAAGTTGTTGCTCCATTTTAGTTTATATTTTCCTCTTTGGCGTTTTCAGGCTCTTTTTAGTATTGAGGTAATTTTTCACATCACAAAAAGACTTAATATACTGTAGCAATTGTGAAACAACTTTCTTGAGATTTGCTGGTCCTTTGTAAATCTCACCTGGCTGCAAAACCAACTTTTGGTTTTTCTCCTGTAGGATTAAAATCTGCACCACTAGAAACTGGCCAGCGCTGTTCCATGGGAGGCTCCACTGAAGAAACAACAAATGCAACAGGCATATTTTCAACTATTCACCACTTTAGAAAAGAGAAGAAACCTGGGACAAGTCTCATCACGTATCTTGCAAGTGGTTTGTGGGACTGTTGGACAGCACTTTCCACTAGCCCTGGTTATGATCCCACAAGCCACTGCGAGATGAAACTCGTCTCAGATTTCTTCTTGTTTCTAACATGGCACATTTGTTGACAGACAAACAAACAAAGTAAACTGACCAACCAATCAAGGAGAATAGTTTTGAAGGTAGATATATGTATGGTGTGTGTTCTCTTAAACGTAACTGTATGTGATGCATCAGGGAAAAATATTCAAATCCAAAAGACTTTTCCAGGCAAATATACAAAGAAATTCCTTGACTTTTTAAAGACTAAAATGAATGGCAGGGCCAATTAGCCAGAGCAAATTATGATATAGGCAATATCCATGATTATCAAATTCTTTTCCTTGGTATTTGGGGTATTTATGATGACTACATTTAAAAACAACCCTAGGATCTAGGAAAAAAAAAATAAACAACTGAAGCAAGTGACTTAGTTTGCTTCATACTGGCTACAACCCTGAATGAAATTCTAGAAAACAAACCTTGTGTGTCCTGCATAAGAGAGGGAGGAGGAGCAATTGCTGCCCCTCCACCAAAACTTGGACGAGATGACTCTCTTCCATAGCTGTCATCATCGTCATCACCACGGCGTCTTCCTCTATCTCTGCCCCTGTCTCTGTGGTAATCGCGATCTCGATCTCTGTCACGATCTCTGTCCCGGTCCCTCTCCCGATCTCTGTCACGGTCCCTGTCACGGTCCCTGTCACGATCTCTATCACGATCTCTGTCACGGTCACGGTCTCTGTGCCTATGGAATCAAAGAATGATTACTACGAATTTGTACATGTGCATGCAGGGAGTTTAGGAAAATCTGAAAGTGTACGACAAACATTTACATAAATGTCTTTCAATTTAGTAATAATAATAATCATCATCATCATCATCATCATCATCATTTCTCTCAAACCTCAAAGGCTTCGCTGGCCTTACCTATCTCTGTCATAATCCCGATCTCCTCGTGATCTGTCTCGACTTTCTGTTCTCTCTGACCTTTCACCTCTGTCACCTCTCTCGTTTTCTTTGTCTTCTCTAAACTTTGCCTTGACAACTTCGTATTCATTTGGTCTCATTGGATCGTACTCATCAACTACAATAGCAAGTGATGCTTCTGTCTCAATGAAGGGTTCTGGAACTTTTTGTACGTCCACGTCCTAGCACAAAAAGGAAGAAAAAGTGGGTAAATATGTCTCATGCAACCTTCTCTAGTTTACAAATAACAGCAGGGTTGTCACAGAGTTTAAAAGTAAGCCACATCATTGTTTTAAAAATGTGACAGGGAACTGCGAAGTATGCATCTTTTTGTGGAGAGTCATGGATTTTTTTTTATGGAATGGAAACAGAATATTTCTACATAGAGCTTACCACCATTTCTCTGCCATCAAGATCTGAACTTGAATCCTACAAAACATAAAAAAAGCTGCATCAACAAACATACTTTTAAATTATAAAAGTGAAAATTTAACTAAAATTAAACAAATGATCATAATAAAGCTAAAAAAAAATTACCTCCAAATCTTCATTTTGTCTCTTATTGCCCAAAACTACCTGATTGACTGATTTTGGTCGCTGAAATGTAAACGCCAAAAAGTTATTCCATAATTAATGGCACACCCTAGATAACAAAACATTGACTTGAACTGGAAAATCTGAGAGTTTTCAACAAATCACAGCACAAATTTGAAACAAAAGAAATCACGTGAGTTTGTTCTGACCAATCATGCTAGAGCAACAAGAATGCTAACTGTTGGAACAGACTGGTTAATATTACATATCTAGAACTTACAGATGCTGACACTGGTCTGGTCTGTGCAACTTTCTTCCTCTGTAACTGAGTCTGTAGAAGTTTGTAACTTGACGACCACCCAGCTGCAAGATAGTTAATTGGTCAGGACAAAATAAATAATTATATCATTAATTAATACGTCAATGGCTAGACGTTTATATAACACTCATGAATGTGAGCACTCTGTCAAATAGTTTCAACACTTGCTCCTCTCACTATTTTTTCCACGTTAACTTGGCCTGCTTGTTTATCTATCCACTAGCATTGAGAGACATCTGTGTTCTGACCTAAACATTCTGATACTTGTGTGATACAAAGCTCTACAGAAACCCATGTAATGTTTCTGATTCATTGTTGCTTGGTGTTTGTTTACTGTGTACACACAAAAAGAGATCAGAGACACTAACACTGTACATTAATATCTCTGTAGAACTATGACATATCCAATATTATATCTCTAATAAAGGGAAAGAACTCAACATTGAAAGTTTAGGACGTCGATTCATTAACTGAGTGAAAAAATGACACAGTGTTTGTGTTCAACAGTAATGCATAAAATACTTCATGAAGTGACTCATATCAAACATTGCACCATCACCAATCATTCATAATCATTGATTTTGGGAGCTATCAAAAACCCTTACTGGTTTCTGGAATAACAGGACATATTCATATTCTCTGTATTGGGCTGGAACTAGCTTGCAATGGAGGCTCCAGTTGGGGAATATCATAAAAAATGGAGTAATGTCATTTGCATTTGCAAAGATTCCCTGCATTAGCCTCAGTTGCAAGGTAGTTCCAGTCCAATACCAAGAATATGAATATGGCCTATTGTGTAGTTCCTGAAAATAAAGGAAAGTATGAAGCTGAACTAGGATTTCCAGAGTGATGGTGGAGTTTAAAACCCAAAAAATCTTCCATGTGATACTGAAGGAGGGGGTGGGGGGGAGGAGAGGAGTTGGTATACATGTACAGTGTAGATACTTTCTGGAACAACACAAAGTGCACCATTACACAGTAAGACAACTCATATTCTTGGGAACATGTACATTTTCTTTTGTGTATACAAATATGGCATCAACGCCGATATAAGGCATCTTATGGCATATTGTAAAACAAATTATGCTGGAAATTTTGGACAAGATGCAATACATGTAACTTATATAATCATAGAATGGATGGGGTACTAAAGTTCTGCTTTGTACATATATAGTCGTACAGTCTTCACCAATTCCCTAACTCACAGTTTGAAAGATTGATACGTGTTTTTTTCGGCAATTTGACATCACTGTCTTTAAAAATAAAAGTTTACAAGGATTTAGCATGGTTTGTTGTCTCATCATTTCACATTTAAAAACATTTTAAACGTGTGTATTTTACATCTAATCTGCAAGGTAACGAGTAAAGCTCAGGTTTAAGCCTAGGTCATTGCTTTTAATTTTTGGCGATCATTCGAAAGCTAAAATGAATCGCATTGCATTGAGTACTCCGATCTTCAACACAACTTTGCGTTGAAAAAAATGTTAAGAAATACTGAAATTCGCTTCAGTCAACATAACAGAAATACAGAACAATGTTAATAAAATTGTAAATAAACTCACAAAGCTTGGTAATATCAGTTCCTTCGGTGGAATTTGATTGCATAGGCACACCATCGATGTCGACTCCATCGTAAAGCGACATGTTGGTTCGCCTCCTGAAGACACTGAAAAGCAATAGCTTGGTAGCCGCGCGTATAATCCAACATGGCGACCTGTCAGTCGTAAATTTTGTTTACCACAAATTTGACCTTTATGCAGGTGTTTTGCCTTTATTTCTCGCGTAGATAAGAGATAATCTTTAAACTGAAAATCTATGATGTTATTCTTGTGTCTTGTGGAGAAGGTTTTTGCTCCTGTCTGGGGTTGCTCAGCTGGCTAAATCTACAACGAAGTTGTCATGGAAATCGTGTCGGAAGGAAGGTTGGTGTCCTATAAGATAAGTTTAGATTTTAAGTCTTGAAATACTATTACTACATCAGACATGTTATCTGTAAGAAGTAGAAGTAGTGAGATAAATGTGTATAACAGTTGCAGCATTAATATCAAAAGTTAAGTTATTATATTAGATAACTTAGATGAACCATATATCAATTCTCAGTTAGCTCGATGATACTTTTTTCCAGTTTGGAGTCTATTAGCAGACCTGCAAGCTGTGATACTACAAGAAGTAGGGATCTGCAGCTGCCACAAGCTCATGTAAGCCTTTATGATTTTCTAGGGCATGTCTTGACCAAAATTTACCCCCTAAGAGAAAGAGTTGGGAATAACCTGATTTTTTGCAGTGTCGTCAAATGACTTTTGCTTCTTATTTGCCTTATGATGCAACAAAAAACAACAACTGACAACTCAGTAGGTTAATGCACATGTTTTATTTTTATTTTATTGCAACAGAAACATGGCCAAATGAAAGGATTCCTAGAAGAGCTTCCTCCTGAAGGTAAAGTTCAATGTGGCTAAACGTAATTCAGGCAAAGGTTGAGTTCAGCCAATGCTGGCCAGTGGTCTCTACATGGTTTTGCAAGGCTTACGTATGTGTTTTGCTTGCCAGCTGTGTGAGAATGTGCAGTTTGCCTTGAGTGCCATTTGTGCTTGTAGCTTGCTCTTGCTCCCTCACCTTCCAGGTGCCTCGAAAACTCAGACCCTCTGGGTGTCTCAAAAACTCAGACCTCAGACCCGAAAAACTCAGACCCTCTGGGTGTCTTGAAAAATAGCTACACTCAGGACTATAGCTAGTTGCTTCATGCCAAAGGTAGAAGTCTACAAAAATGTCTACACCATAAATGGCATATAAAAACATGCCACAGTCATGCTGAAAGAACAAGTGTTTGTATTATGTGAAAGCCAAGAGAACCTCTGGCAGCATGGAGCACTCTATTTTGAGTGCAGATTTTACTCTCCATATTAATCACTACTCTATTGTAACACTTTCATGTCCAATGACTTTTAGCCGTCACAGTCAATCTTGATGAAGACGTAGACTCCGAGGATGACCCGGTAAGTTGAGATTTTGATAGTAATAAGGATACATACCTGAATGGATTGATCATTGATTTTTTACTCATAAAGAACAAGCTGTAATATTAGTATAGAATATCCCACTCTCCTATTAGCATAGAAGTTGTTTCACATAAAGTTACAGTTTTCTGTTTCCCAGGTTTTATCTCAATGCCAAACAGCTCAGCATCACCAGAACATTTCTTTCATTCACCTTTGTTGCAGATTATTTCTCCAGTTGAGAATGATGTAGTTTTAGAAGACATGTTTGAAAGAACTACAACAGCAAACAGCAATGCAAGCATAGAGGAAGAAATAGATGAAGGAGAGGACAAAGTCTCTGGTAATTCAAAGCAATTTTTCATCCACTCAGTATACAGGGATTTCATTACCGTTTTCAGCAGGAGGACAACTGGTTTTCACAGGTGGACAAAACTATTAGAACTGAGTTTCTTTGTAAGAAAACCTTTCTGCCTGATGGTCAAACCAGCCAGGCAAAATCATCCTCACAGCCGGTCAATTTGCGCGGTGCCCGGCCCATAATGAAACCCCTGAGTATAATCATAGTCAGTGATGTAGCAAAGAAAGTACTAATTATAGCTGGCTCATTAACAAGCGCGCTAGCTTTTCTGGGCCTGGCACCTCCAAAGTTACCCCAAGTCGTTGTTTTTGTGTGAAATTTCTTTCAGCCAGTGAACAAACCAGGAGCAGGTCCTTACATGTAGCTACATTGCTGTGTAGTCTGAGCCAACTCTGTACTACTGACATGTTGGTTGACAGATTTCTCTGATTGAACACAACTGAAACATACTAGGCTACAAGAAACAATGATCGCCGTAACTAATAACTAAAACTGATTTAACTCATATATTTCTTGGTTTACCAACTGAAGAGACGGGTGCTTCTGATAAAAGTGCTCATGTAGTCAAACATGAGGAGTCTCGGGATGAGAGCACAGCTGAGGCAACCCTGGACCCAAAAATACGAAAAGGACTTGAGAGAATAAGAAAACTGGATGCAATTCTTGCTGATAAGCTCAAGGTAAACTATCTGTCAATATTATCTTAAAGCTGGAGTCAAATTTCTTCTTGTCTCCAATATCTCATGGCTTTCAGAGTTAGAATTTGTTTACAGTGTCATGTTATATCTTGTTTAATTTCATTTTGCAGTTTACTCTTTTAAAACCTTGATGAACCAGGAAATGATAATTTTGTAATTTTTCAGTAACCAAGGCTGTAGTCTAAGAAAAATTAGGAGGAGCCCAAAGGTTCCCAACCTTAAAATCCTGGGTGCCCAGTACTTAAGTATATATGAAAAAAGTAAGTTTTTCCAGTCACCCAAAGGCTAAAGTTAGTCACCTGTGGTACATGGGTGCCTCTAGAGCACAGCCCTGGAACAGTGTACATAGCTGCTATTAGTAAATGTACCAAACTCAACTGAAGATATATTTTCTAGATCCTTATTTATCTCCATACTTTTCTTTTGATGTTAGTTCTGAGAATTTGATGGTACACCAAGAAAATATGATATCCTCTTGTTGCTCTTTATTATCATCGTCTTTTGTTCATTTGATATACCAATGAGAAATAAGGTGCTTGTCACCCTTGGCCTGCAAATAAATTATTATACATAGTACTGACTTGCTCATGAATATCATATGATTTTATAAAATTTATTGTTATCTACTGTATACATCGTGGCGCTGCACTGGTCTCATGATTAGTGCGCTTGACTCTGCATCAAGCGGTCCAGGTTCAAGCCCTGGCCGAGGACATTGTGTTGTGTCCTTGGGCAAGACACTTTACTCTCACATTTCCTCTCTCCACCCAGGTGTTTGAATTAAATGGGTAGCGGCGAACTTAATGCTGGTGTAACCCTGTGATTGACTAACATCCCATCCAGGGGGAAGTAGAAATACTCCTAGTTGCTTCATGTTATGGAAACTCTAAGAGATAAGCTTTAACCTGATGGGCCTCTTGGCTTTTATGCAGGCTTCACCTTACTGTATACTATCAATTTTTATAATCAAACAGAAAGAAAAGGAAATCAAAATTCATAGAAGGCAACTGGAAAAGAAGTGGAGAGAAGAAATAAGTCAACTGGATCAGCAGCGAGAACAAGAGGGTCATGGGAAAATAGAACTGGGTGTTGGCCATGCCCTCGCTCTTGGTCCACCAACTGATGACAACTTACCAGGTAATTTTTTGCTCAATAATTCTTTTTTGTCACATTAAGGACACGAATTCATCTATGATTTTAATACAAGATCACAAACAAGTAAGTCCCTAGAGATGCTTGAAGCTTACTATTTGTAATATTTGCTTTGTAAACTAACAGAAACCTTTTTCTATTTTCCTTGTTTATTGTAGATGAAGTTGAGTCTATACCAGTGACTCCATTGTTTGCTACACAACCCATTCCTAATGAACAAGAGAATATGGCCTCTCCCTCTGAAAGAGGTAAGACCTTGTTGATATTCACTTATCAGCCCATATATAGCTCAACAGAGAGCATCCTAGGCATGCACAATGTAGCACATGCAAAGTCTAAGTATGTCCAATGTGGCCCAGGTTCTATTCTGGCCGGTGCCATATCAGTGGGTTCACGGTTTGTTGTTGGTTCTCGCCTTGCTCCGAAAGTTTTTCTCGAGGTTCTCTGGTTTTCTTCCCTTTACTAAAACCAACATCTGCAAATTCCAGTGCGACCAGGATAGAGGACCCACGTGAAAACCAGGTAAAGCTAATGTGGCTTGCTCTCTAGATATTGTAATTTATTATGAATGTTCTTCCTCTGCAGGTGTCAGCTCTAGCTGTGATTCCTGGGCAGAACAAGATATTGATGATGTGGAGAGCAAAAGTTCAAAGAGAACGCGTAAGAGAAGAGGAAGCAAACAGTCAAAATCCAAAGGAAAAGAACAGAACTTTGTGAAGCGAAACATTGAGGTGGAATTTATACCCCTTCTGTGCCATTTTCGAAATGCTTTTTTTATTATCTCTCGTGGTGAATGTTTTCTTTTCGCACATTCACTATCTTGGAAACAATAATCTTTTTTGTTTGGTTGTAGTTGGCAGCCGATGCAGGGAATGTGATTCCCATGACAGAAGCGGAGAAAAAACGATTAGAAGCGCTTCTGTCGGATGAAACAGATCTACTGATGGTGGAGGTTTGTACCTGACAGATTGAATCACTATTTAACAGGCTGTCACTTGTCCAGCATCTCTCTAATGATTCNAGCTCAACAGAGAGCTTCCTAGGCATGTACAATGTAGCACATGCAAAGTCTAAGTATGTCCAATGTGGCCGAGGTTCTATTCTGGTCGGTGCTATATCAGTGGGTTCACGGTTTGTTGTTGGTTCTCGCCTTGCTCCGAAAGTTTTTCTCAAGGTTCTCTGGTTTTCTTCCATTTACTAAAACCAACATCTTCAAATTCCAATTTGACCAGGATAGAGGACCCACGTGAAAACCAGCTAGGGCTGATGTGGCTTGCTCTCTAGATATTGTGATTTATTATGAATGTTCTTCCTCTGCAGGTGTCAGCTCTAGCTGTGATTCCTGGGCAGAACAAGATATTGATGATGTGGAGAGCAAAAGTTCAAAGAGAACGCGTAAGAGAAGAGGAAGCAAACAGTCAAAATCCAAAGGAAAAGAACAGAACTTTGTGAAGCGAAACATTGAGGTGGAATTTATACCCCTTCTGTGCCATTTTCGAAATGCTTTTTTTATTATCTCTCGTGGTGAATGTTTTCTTTTCGCACATTCACTATCTTGGAAACAATAATCTTTTTTGTTTGGTTGTAGTTGGCAGCCGATGCAGGGAATGTGATTCCCATGACAGAAGCGGAGAAAAAACGATTAGAAGCGCTTCTGTCGGATGAAACAGATCTACTGATGGTGGAGGTTTGTACCTGACAGATTGAATCACTATTTAACAGGCTGTCACTTGTCCAGCATCTCTCTAATGATTCAGTGGTGGTTAAACCAGTCACGGAGCAGCAAATAAGCGTAGTATTAAAGTGGTACTATGATCAAATTTTTACCCCTTGATTTTTTAGATGTATCACATAGAATTCCATGAAAGAATAAAAACGCCATTTTCCGTTTTCAAATATCTACATTAGTTCCGGAGATAGTTAAGTTTGAAAAATGCGTAAAATATGCAAATGGTGACTGATGACGTCACACACTCAACCCAATATTATATTAAGTATATAAATAGAGCTATCTCGGTCAATTTGCAGGGGTGATCTGGATCAGGATCAGTGATCCAAGATCACTCGGATCATGGTGTATTCAGGTTCCTCGGTTCATTTGATGCACAATGATCCGAATGATTTTGGATCACTGATCCGGATCCAGATCACTCCAAAGGAACGCACCCTAACAGGCTAAGCTGTCGAGCAAGAATTGCATCAGTTTTTAGAATGTACATTTAGTTGAAGATTGTTGCATGACATTTTGCTTTACAGAATGCTTACTCTGAAGGACTATCATTACCAGCTGGTGAGGGTTTCACTCTGGACAGTGAGTCACTCGCTTCACTCGCCGATATAGACAGGTAAGATCTGTGGAGGGTTTTCAGTCAATGCCTTAAAATTCAGTTTGATCTTCATCAAGTGCTAGAAGTTTGCTAATGGGGGGATAAAAATGGAATATACCATTGATTACATTACTTGCAAAACATTTCGGACGTTTTATTTTGGCCGTTTAATTTTCGAACACTATTTATCTCCTTCAGGCGGACAAATTTCGGACAACAAGTTTGGACACTTCGCTGAAGCATAGCTTATAAATTAAAGTAAATTTATGCTTACCAAACACGAATTACACTGGAACAACATCTGTGAAAATGATAGGTTTACTGCACCCTCAAGGTTATACGAATACACCGACGAGAAAATAGCACAAATTTTATCAAGCCGTTACAGCCGTTAAATGTATGCCAAGTAGTTTCTCAACTAGAGTTCGCTCCATGAGGCCCGGTATGAAGCAAACTAAGAGTTTGGACCTACTTAAAGGTTTTATACTTTACTATAATTATTTCAGACGCTTAAAATTTCGAACGCTTAAAAAGTTCAGACGGTTTTAATTTCGGACGTCGTCCCCGCGAAATATATTTAATTTGCAAGTAGTGTACGCAGCTTCTTGTCTTATTGAATGTAGGTGTTAACCTTACTTTGCTCTTTCCAACAGCAAACTGCAGGAACTTGTTCCCCAAGAAGAGATTGACTTATTAGCAAGTCAAGAATCTTGGAAATTTCACAGAGAACTTGACCACATCTCACAAGTAAGTTGTTGTTGTTTGGTTTTTTTGTACAAAGTTTTAGTTTTTAACAAACTACAAGTGTTCGCCAGTAACGACCAGCTCCGTAACTGAAATTGGTTGATTGATCAGTTACATACAGAACAAAAGTACTGAGTGAAATTTGGCAATCGGCAATTTTCTCGTGTGTGGTCTGTAACGCCAGACGAACAAAGGCTGAAAACCTTTGACTAGTTTTTGCTTTCCATGCGTCTTTTCGCGACCTTATCGTAAGATATAAGTTGCTGATAACGAGGTTTGTCAATATACAGTGTGGGTTTTTTTATTCTCATTTTAAAAACTTCTGACTTGCTGATTTAGGATGGGTCAAGTGCGAAAGATGTCGACACCATAGGTAAGTGTCGTGCTACTTTAATTTTGGCATGAACTCAACAAGCTTCAAAAGTACTACTAACAAAAGAAAATACAATATAACAGCTCGATTTTGTTTGGCAGTACTTTTAAAAATGCCTAAATCTATTAGGAAGTGACGATTGCTAAGGAGAAAAAGGATGGAACTAGATTGCAATATTGATAGACTTGAAAATGCGAGAACATTTCGAAACACTACTGTAGTATTTTGAGTGTTGCTTGGATTTCTAGAGATTTTACTAAAGAAATCTGCGAGGAGTGTTTTTCTGTGTTGGTTTAAGGTTACAGTATACCTTCAGGGGTGTCTCGCGCGCAAGCGATGTAGCGCGTGCAGTTTAAGCTGTAGCTACCTAAACCCCTATATCAAATTAAAGTTTATGGAGCTGGCTATCAAACTATACCAAGAATTTTGAAAGAAAATGAATTGTCGAATTTTTCA